CGGGTATAGTCCGGATAATCTGGCCTATGAGGATGAAGTGTCGGACCAGAGAAAGCTTAGTCTTTCTAAAAAAATATTTTATAAACATTTTTAAAATTTTATAAATTTCTGATTTGGATACTTTAATCAGCATACATTGCATTAACTACAAAGTAAAATTAAAACTTAATTGCATTAGTCTTAGGAGCATAACACCATTCATAAGGGTGATACCATTTAAGAACTTCTCTAGATGTCGGCCTCAAATTTCAAAGTCCAACCACCCACCCATTTTTCATACGGACTAGATATCATAGATTTTATACGATTTGATGATTTTAGCTCGCTTCCCTTTTCAGGCAGGGGTATAAATCCAAATTGTATTAGTTAGGTCATAGATGTTAGTGTCATGTGTATGATATTACATCTTTTAAAGATTTATAGTCTAAAGGTGAGTGGTACGAGTGTATCACTGTACACCTTATCGGTGGGTAAGCTTTCTTTTCTTTCAGAAGCTATAAATCAAACACATCCGCGTCACATAGATGACGCCACCTCCCTCCTTATCTCACGCATGCTTGAGATGCAGTGTCTTTTCTTTTCTCTAGTTTTCTCTTCCTCAGACCCGTCGAATGTTGATATGAACCACGCATGTTGATTAAACTAAATTGAGCATCTCTTTCCTTTTGATTATGAAAGCCTAGAAACTCTTTTACGCTAAATCCATTTGAGAAGATAAACTAACATCCTTAATCGAGAGTTTTCTTAAACCGATGTCTAAGATGTAATTAACTACGAGACCTTGCGCCCATAAGAAACCGATCCCCACATCAAATAAAGCTCATTCGAGCTGATGTATCGAATGAGGGAAATATAATGACTTTGATTAGGTTATACATACTATTACCCATCGAAGTGTGTAGGTGAAAGCCGCTATCCTCCATTGTTAATCATATATATAACTTCATCTGCTCTTTCATCGGCCTGCTTGTGTCGAGTGTAAAGGCATACGATCTTTTTTTGTCCTACAGAATAGTGCGGGCGTACTATTTACATTCGAATCCCACAAGCAGCATCCTTTCGGAGACCCACAATGATCATGATTTATCTTCATAATAAAAGGTTTCCTATGGGTGATTGTGTCAAATTGAAGCCCCACATGCTTAGATAGTTATAAAAATCAATTATAATGCATATCTTATATGACTACAGACTAATATAAACCTCTTGTAATAAAGATTAAAAAATATATGGAGGGGGACAAATTACCTAAAGAATTATATAATAAAGATTTTTTTTTTTCAGGGGGGCAATTGCCCCCCTAGCCTTAAGTTGGATTCACCCATGGTTATATATGTAATTATAAAAGTACAAATTAGTTATATTTATTCATTTTTACAATAAACATTATTAAGTCTTGCTAAATAAATTTATTTATATTACTAAACTGCAATATTTCATGCAATGTAGGGGTGTCAATATTTGGCACGTCACGAAAATTCGACCCAAACCTGACCTAAAAATTTTGGGTTCGGGTCAACCAAACAAGGTCAGATTCGGGTTAGGGATTTCAACATGTTTGTAAAACATGGTCGGGTTCGGGTTGACCTTGAAACCTGAAATCAACCCAATTTGACTCATTTTTAATAAATTTAGGAGGGTTTTAAAAAATTGATATAAAATAAGTAAATGTTATATCTAAAAAAATAATAAAATCTGTTGTCCAAAGTAAATGTTATATCTAACTCTAACAATCTGTCATCTGTGTCTAATGATTTTTTCAATAAAGATAATCTAAAAATATTTGTGTTTTTAGGAGAAATAATGAATTTAATATTCAAGTGATTTGTTGTATATATGGTGATTGTATGAACGTGTTGAGGTGGAATTCCTAACAAAGCATTGGTGAGAAGCAGCGCCGCGATTTCTTAATAGCTACCATAAGCCATTCGTACAAAGCGGGCCGCCGTGGCCGCGCCTCTCGCCGCTCCCTGCCTTTGTTTGGTCTGCCGATCGTTCGGATTTAGACTGAGAAATCAAAATGGAAATGCTCTGCTCTGAAAATGACTAACGAAATAATGCTTCGTTTTCAACAGTTTTTTTAAATACTTTTTTTAAATCATATTTTTATTATAAAATTTAATTAAAATAAATAAAAAAATATGACTAAAAACTGTCCCAATGATGTCTTAAGCTATTAAAATCAATAAAAAAATTGTGACTAAAAACTGTCCCGATGATGTCTTAAGCTTCATTTAAGATAGATTTTTTTGTTGATTTCTAAATTAGCTTTTTAGCAAAAAAAATTTTGAATTATAAAATTTTATACTGAAAATCCGTTTTAGGGAGCAGTACGAAAGATGCCCTAAACGAAGCCTTAAATTTCAGTTCGAATAAAAAATAGTGGCCAAAAGTTGTCCTGCTTGAAGTCTTAACTTTCATTTGTGATAGCTTTTTATTGATTTCTAAAAAACCTTTTTAATACCAAATTTCTTTGAAATAGAATTTTTGTACTAGAAAGCTATTTTAAGAAAATCGTAAGAAATTTGTAGGCTTCGTTTGGGGCATCTTTAAACCATTGTATTTTCTTTGTTTTTAAGAAATTTTTGAACAAAAAATAACTTTATAAAATAATAAGAAAGTCATCCCAAATAAAGCCTTAGACTTTAATTGAGACAAATTTTTATTGCTTTCTAAAGCAGCTTTTAGTTTTTTTTTTTGAACTATAATATTTTTACTAAAAATTAATTTTAGAAGGCAATAAAAAGTTGTCGCAAACAAAATCTTAGCAATACGAAATATGTCCTAAACGAAGCCTTAAATTTCAGTTAGAATAACTTTTTACTGCTTTTTAAACAAACTTTTTAATATAAAAAATTCTTGAAAGCAGAGAAAAAATAGTGACCAAAAGTTGTTACATGTGAAGACTTCATTTGGGATAGCTTTCTTATTGCTTTCTAAAAAAGCTTTTTAATACTAAATTTCTTTGAAATATAATTTTTGTACTAGTAAGATGTTTTAGGAAAATAGTAAGAAAGATGTAGGCTTCGTTTGGGGCATATTTAAACCATTGTTTTTTCTTTGTTTTTAACAGATTTTTGAACAAAAAATCATCTCAAATAAAGCCTTAGACTTTAATTGAGTCATTTTTTATTGCTTTCTAAAGCAGTTTTTAGTAAAAAAAAAAAAATTTGAGCTATAATAATTTTACTAAAAATTAATTTTAGAAGGCAATAAAAAAGTTGTCGTGTTTTTAACCCTTTTTTGGGATAAAATCATATTAAAATTAATAGTTAAGTTACATTAAAGTATATCTTATAGAACTTAGGGCTAAATTGAGTTTGTTTTTTTTTATTAAAAAAAGATATTTGTATTTTTAGCTATTTTTTATTTTTATTTTTAAAATAAAATCAATATATTTTTTAAAATACTCAAAATAATTTTTTAGATATTTGTACTTATTTGTATTTTCTTAAAATAAAAATCATCATCATCTCATAAAATATTCAATAAAACAATATACAATTATTTTTATAACAATTTAATTTATTTTTATATTAAAAATATAAATGAAAAAAAATAAAGAGTATTATATAAATAATAATATATTAATTTGTTATTTTTATGAAATTAATTCACCTTAATATTTAAATTGAATGCTTAAAATTTGAAGCGGCGCTTTATTCCGTGTTCGACCAAACATCTCATTATGCATCGAAATCATTTGCCACTATTTTATAGGCGAAATTACAGTATTACCCTTGTGTACTACAGCAAAGGTTGGCCGTTAATTTGGCTAAGAATCGAATATTAATTATTATTATTTTTTTTTAATTTCAATCCTATTATTTTTATTATTTTATATATGCAGTGAGGACAAAGGTAATTTATCTAAAATTCAAGGTTGAATTATGGCATAGGGATTGATTTATTTTTATGGAAATAAATAAAATAATATTTTTTGTTGTATGTGATTTTATGTTAATGATACTTATTTGCTTTTCATTATTATTATTTCACATTTATGGTTGACTCTCAAAGTTTTGAATTTTGGATAAACAATTTATAATAAATATAATATAAATATTTGGAATATTAGACTTTTAAATTTAATATTTTTAATATAATTTGTTTATATCTCTTTTTAAATTGCTAAAAATATGAAGTATGTATACCTCAATTTGCGTGTTTGAGCGAGCTCCGTAGATTGTACAAGTTCGATGAGGAATTAAAGGAGATCAGGTGAATTTGACCTCGAGGAGCTTGACCAATGAGCACACTTGCCTTAGCTAAGGGGCATCCACCTAGGAAAAAACTTACATAATTGGGGCACTCATCTTGGAAAAATCTTTTTCAATTAGGGTACAGAGCATGGACTCGTACAACAGTAAGCGGAAGACACTCATCGATCAAAAAATGACAACCGCACAAATTCAACTTGCTTACCACTTCAACTTTTTTTCCCCTAAAATAGCCTTATCAGCCTTAGAGTAGGGCGTTGTCCATTTTACGAGAAATTATTCAGTATGGAGACCGGATGACGAGAACCGTCCAAATTTGCTGTCTATTAGCTGTATTTTTACTGCACTTTTACAAATACTCAGCAAAATGAAAAAGTCAGCAAAAGCGTAATAAATTCGGACGAATCTTGCCTTCCGGTCTCTGCACAAAATAATTTCTTTCATTTTACAAATTCGTATGCAACAAAATAATTTTAAACATTTGTGAGATAATTATCGAACGGTTCTGCTAAAAAGATAAATGCTGCCTGCCACGCCAAAAATCCCTAAAAATGGCACACCCGTAAATTCTGCCAAACTCCAGGTCCGCCTTTGAACCTGCCAGAACGAACTGGCTTGAGGCTTGAGCTCGATACCGAGAATGTTAAACCTCGGCTTACGAATTAAGAACCCCTTCTTCACCGTTCTCTCCAGTCAATATCTCCGGCGAAGTTCTGATTCTTTTTTGTAGTTCTCGTTCTCCGCCCATCTCTCGAGCAAGAAGTTTTTAGAGAGAGAACGATGTGGCGTGCAGCGCTCTCCCAAGCCATTCGCCTATCCTCATCGAAGAAAGCCTCAATCACGAGCGATCTCGTCTCCAGACCTTCGAGGTTTTTTTCAACCAGCTCGGTAAGTAAACCTCTTCTCATTGAATTCGGTTTTATGATGCAGGGTTGGGGTTGGATTCCCATTTGGTTGATCGAAAGGCTATTGCGGTTATAATGATCTGAATCTTCGAGTTGATTCGGCTTTACAGCCTTCGCATAGCTCATATTACCCGGATCGCTTATTTTCTTTAGTTGGGTTGATTGTAGAGTTTTTTTTTTTTCATTAGTGTGCCGTTGGCTGATTTTCTGTTTTTTTTTCTCTTTATTTATGTTCCTAATTTTCTTCTGCATGATCGCGGAATGTACGGTGCTTTTTTCTGCTTTGTTTTTTTTTGGGTTGCCGCCGCAACTACAAATTGCAGGGAGAAGTGAACCTTGCATTTTAGATAGGAGCTGGTCCTTTTCTATTAAGATCTACTCCAACTACTAGGAGGTTCTAGACCAGAATGTGAATCTCTCTCTTCTGCCATTGGTTTGCCTGAAGAGATTGCAGCGAAAAATTGGCCTGAAATGAAGCATCTCATCTATGGGCATTGACAATCTTCATGCCAAAGGAGGTTGAATCAGTCTTTGGAAGCTCTAAGATATCATCTGCATTCATGTTATCGTTTTGCTTTCACGCTTCGCAAGCTTCATCCGGATTGCTTAGCAAATTTGATGATATTTATGTGTTCCGTTTTCTTAGTTTTATATTTATTTGATTTATTTCACTTTCTTCCGTATGATCACGGGTTGAAAAGAGGTGTTTTTTTTTATTAGTTGTTTTGGTTAAATAATCATCTTAGCTTCACTGTTCTTATTAAAAGAAAATTCTAATTTTGTGTGTTATTTTTGTGTTGGCCCAGTCCTCATACACCATTGTTGATCACACATATGATGCTGTGGTGGTTGGAGCTGGTGGAGCTGGGCTTAGAGCAGCTATTGGACTCTCAGAACATGGTTTCAATACGGCTTGCATCACGAAGCTCTTCCCCACTAGATCTCATACTGTTGCTGCGCAGGTACTTATTTTCCATGGTCCGCCTCCAACAACGTTTACCCTTCTTTGTGTTTTTGATATTGGAAGTCTTGTTAGTTCTTGCGTACTTAGATACATAACCACTTACTGAATGAATAGATCTAAGCGCTCTCTTGATTACTCTAATGATTTTGTTCTCAGCAGCCATGCATGTGCAATAATAAGTCATGCATAAGTTTGTTGGTCTGCGCTTCAGTGATGATTTTCAAAATAACTTATGAAATGTTCTCTTTGCTCGTGGAGAGAAAATGTCAGTAAGATAGCAACATGACCTTGTTCTTTTCCGGACATAAATACTACTTTTAAGTGGCTATTTGACTAGAAGTAGGATTTAATTCAGGCATGATTTAGTTAATCCTATAAATTCATATTTAGTACTGTACGACTCCAAAAAATTCGAATGATATTCATGAATCTCGAGGCAATCTTTATTGAAACATCTAGAATTAAATTCAAGATCATTAGAATTAAATTCAAGATCATTTGAACTCTGATTTTTGCAAACATATACTCAAACTAAATGTCTCAACAAGACAAATCCAATGATATCAAAAGTGGTCCTATTTGAGCCTAAATGCGACCAAATCAAGCACTCAATTCATAATTTAAAACTTTAGACATTAATTGGATGACCAAATTATTTCATAATTTTGTATGCTTATAGTCGAATCAAGCGACTCAACGAGGCTAAGTCAACTATCCCAAGATTACTTAATTATATCATCATTAAGACATTAATTGTTGAGAAAACACTTTATTATCTAAGAATCAATATTGATAGTACGATGGAGTGCTTGGGATTCTGGTCAAATTTACTAAAATGCTCATTTTAAAAAGCCTATAAATAGAACCTCATTCTTTACGAAAGGGGAGGTCTAAGGGTTGAGAGAATTAAAGAGCTCTCTAATATTTTCTAACTATCACCGCCGATGGACCACAACCAGCTATCACTGCTAATGACCACCGCTAGTCGTCATTTCCACTAACAACCGCCACTAACAATCGCCACCATCATTTCATGATTCCTATCAAGATTTAATCATGTTGTTGAGTTTCAATTGTTCATTTGTGCACACTAGACTTATGTAATTTCTACAAGTGAGAAATCAAATATTTTGTTATCAAATAGTCCTCTTCTTCCTCAACTATGAGGAATGAAAGATTCTTGTATCTCCTATTATATGATGAATTTTTCAACTATGCCAGGCCTTGTAGATGTTTTCCCTTGTTCTCAAATAGTTCTATTCTTCTTCAATTGAGAGGCAAGAAAGATTCTTGTATCTCCTATTATATAGTGGACTTTTCAACTGAGGCATGTGGTTTTTTTTCCTTTATGGGTTCCACTTAAGAAATTTATGATCTCTTACAAGTTTTATCTGCGCGTGTTGAATTTTTGTCGAAGGCTACGACATGTATCTTCTACGCTATCGATGCAAATTTTCTAGCACGTAATAAAGTACTTTCTCGAGAGGATTAAAACCTGAAGATTTATTTGGCATCACAACTGTTAAATCTTGCTTAGTCCTGAAAATTGTTTGATTATTTGTTTTAAGATTTAAGATTTTAGGGAGGAGAAATTCGCAAATCCATCAAATTCCATAAATGGTGGTTTTTACAAATATTCTATTTAGCCTGTAACGGGTTGAAATAAGATTTTCAAAACAATAGGTTTTAAAGTTTTCAAAATTCTGTTTGGTAGTGTTTAAAGCTTAAATCCTGCCTAAAATAGGAGGATTCCAAAAAACCCTTGAAAGTATTTGGGTGTATGTGTTTTAAAATTCTCTTTGATTTGTAAAGTCACTATTTTGAAGTGACGAGTTTGATTATCCATATTTTGTGTTTGATTATCCTCATCATTATCATCGACCTCATAGTAATTATTTAGGGTTTGCTCTAATTTAAGAATTCTTACTTTTCATTTGTTCTTATTAAGTGCTGTAGTAGCGCATCAATGCGTGACAAAGTTCAATTTACAACTACCAAAGACTTTAACTTGATCATCAAAGCTTTGGCTAAGATGAGCAATGATTGTTGGAGCTTCATTGATTTTTCCCAACTATGATAGGAGGTTACCATAGCTTTGTTGGAGTTTCGTTAGCAGTGACCAATGGCTTTTTGGAGCTTGTTGGATCCCCACAATCTCATTGTGATTTTATTTGAAATAATTTTGTTCCTGAAACTTAAATCTTCACTTTTAGGTTTTTGTGAGGCCAAACAATGAGCTTAGTAAATTTCCCCTGTAAATTATGTTTTTAGTGTTCAATGAAACCACACAGTTTTTAGTAATGTTTTAGGTACTTGATATTGGTTTAGAATCCGTGCATATGCCACACAGATAAACAACTCTATAATTAAAGAAGGAAGGAAATGAGCAACCTTTGGCTCCATTTTTCTTGAGGCGTGAAAAGCGTTTCTCTGGAAAGTGAAAAATTGTTAAAATATGACAAGTGCATTTGAAGGTTGCTCAAGTACAGTTACTTACGAATATACCAATTGAATGAACAAAACACAAACAATATATTTGTTAACCTGTAAATTGATTATGATCAAATTTGTTGAATGTTGTTTCGTACATATTATCATTTAAGCACACCATCAGCATAATTAGGAAGGACACGCACAAGGCTCTTTGATCAAACCCTGTCTTCTACTCCATCCTTCTATGTCCCTGCTATTTTAGGCTATAATAGTAACTGCTAATCTGGCCTGGTTTTGTTATTTCTTTTTGGATAATTCCATTAAATGTCTCATATTCATGTAATATATAACTCCACGTAGTGGGACAAAAGCTTGATGTTTGTTGCGTCCAGGAGTATTCGCGGCGGTAGAGAAATATAAAGTTTATCGTCTTAGCGTTGTACGAAAATCCGGCACGCAATCAGATAAGAGAGAGGGTCTAGCATTTATGAGACACCAAGATTTTTACGTGGAAAACCCCTAAAAAGGGGGAAAAACCACGGGGCATAGCCCAGTTTGAATGAATCCACTAGTATTGCAGTCGATTACAAATGAGGCCCTTCCTTGGGAGAAGGCCTTAGCTTGATGTACATTTTATAGAGTACATTACATGATATGAATACAAAGAATCACTATTGACATGTTCATTTGGTCGGGAGGACCGTAGTCGGCGGGCGACGTAAATCGGAAGGCTTGTAGTCGGTGGCCGACGTAAGTCAGGAGGACCGTAGTCGGCTGGCGACAGAGATCGGAAGGACTGTAGTCGATGGGCGACGTAAATCAGGAGGACCGTAGTCGGCGGGCGACAAAGGTCAGAAAGACTGTAGTCGGCGGGCGACGTGAGTCAAGAGAACCGTAGTCAACGGGCGACATGAGTCAGGAGGAACGTAGTCGGCGGGCGACGGAGTTCAGAAAGATTGTAGTCGGCGGGCGACATAAGTCAGGAGGACCGTAGTCGACGGGCGACGCATGTCAGAAAGACTGTAGTCGGCGGGCGACGTAAGTCAGGAGGACCGTAGTCGGCTAGCGACGAAGGTCGGAAGGACTGTAGTCTGACGACGAAGATCAGAAGGACAGCGTCAGGTAGAAGTCCAACAATGGAAAGAAATCCATCTTCGCATAGACATCTAGCGAAGTCCGATAACCGGTAGAAGTCTGGCGTCGGGTAGAAACTTGGCGAAGAGTGAAGGTCCGACGTCGGGTAGAAGTCCGACGTCTGTTGGTGGCAGAGGAGAACTCCGGCTTCACTTGGGCGGAGTTTCAGCGTCAGGAGGGAACTCTGTTGTAAATTGGGAAGAATTTCCGCATCCCATGGAAGTTGGGCAGAATTCTGGCGTTCTCCCGAATATCTGGCAGAGTTCCGGCGTATTCAGGCGGCGGGAAGAGCTCCGGCGGTGGTCGAGGAGGAGAGGATTCTCCTTTTCCCATTTCTCTTCTTCTTCCCTTCTTCTTCTCTCTCTTCACTCCCCCCCTCCTTTGCGAAGAATGAGGGTTCTATTTATAGTTTTTATGGAGTGGCATGGCTCGTAAATAGTCGTGAGATCATGGGCGAATAGGGAGTGGTTTGAATGGACGGCCGATATTGAACCCTTCGACCGTGCACCGTTCGTTGGACATTTGGAGGCCTTAATGATGTCGGAATTCGGCGATCTTGGGCTCGTTGGATTCATCTCGTCGAGCCGCTTGATTCGAGTATAAGCTCGTTAAAATCGGAGATCGTTTGGTAACTCAAATTGCGGTTTGAACCTTCCAACGGCGCTTCGGGTCCTTGATTTGGACCCATTTGGGCTCGGATTGGGTCGAATTTGGTGTCGTTGGGTTTGTATTTTCGAGACGCTCAGTCTGACTATAAGCTCGCTGAAATCGGAGTTCGAATGCTCTTGATTTTAATTTTTGGAGTTTCCGGGTTGGGTTTTGCATCGAGATTCGTGCCCAATCAAGATAATTTCATGATAACGTATCAATGTTGTTGTTGTTGTTGTTATTCATGTAATATATATATATAATTTCTTTCATAGGCTTCCTCAACCTTTTTTTTTTCTTTCTTAAATGATGTATCCAAGATTTAGTCGTTCTCTCTCTATTTTTTTTTAAGTGAACTTGTCCGTTTATCTCAACTTTTGTTCACTAAAGCCTCTTCCTTGACATTTCTTTGTAATCATCCTTCATCTTGTCATCATATTATCTTACTTTATATCCGTATGAATGTTCAACTTGATTCTAGTTATTTCCCAATCATTTGACATATTCATTGTTTCTTTTTCTGCAGTTTTTTAACATGTTTTGTTAGGTTATCGCTAATTTATTGATCAGAAGGCATGGAAAAAAACATTTCTATCTTATTCATCTGCATTTATGCATACAAGTTACCAAGTTTCAACATTTCATATTATCTGTCATCCCTTTGATTTTTTTTTATTCGAATCCTCTTTAAATGCTCAGCTTCTTGAGTTTTTTGTCATCTCATGCAGGGTGGGATTAATGCAGCATTGGGAAATATGAGTGAGGATGACTGGAGATGGCACATGTATGATACAGTCAAAGGAAGCGATTGGTTAGGTGATTTGCTAACTCTGGATTTCTCATTCTTATATAAATATTTTTTACTCCCCAACGAGGTTCTTTTCTTATTTATATATTTTCATTGCATCGCATATGTTTTTTTATTTCTTTCTTGTTCCTTCTCTCAAATAAGTTGGAAAATTTCCTAAACCCTGAGGTTTTTCTTTCATTGGATTAGCATGCAATCATTTTTCTTCACTCGGTAACTTATTATATGTTTTATTCAACTAAGCTTTTCCTAGATTGAAAGTTCTCTTTATCTATTTTAAATTTGTGAAGTTGAATATATAGAATTATGGTCTTTGGTGATATTGACCTTTTATTATTTACTACTGTTCTCCTTGTGCATTTCTGCCGTGTGCTCATGTGATCTTTTTTCTTTGGAAGTTTTTTTTCTAATCACTCTAAACAAACTATGATAGGATGAAGGTTCTTTTTTGTTTAAAATATATAAGGTTGGATGCATAAATTTTAGTGTTTGTCTTTTAGTCATATGGATCCTTATTATGTAATCCAAAATATTGCATTAACCAATATAGCATGTTCTGATTTGTCTCAGGTGATCAGGACGCTATTCAATATATGTGTAGAGAGGCACCAAAGGCAGTCATTGAACTTGAAAATTATGGTCTTCCATTTTCTAGAACAGAAGATGGGAAAATATATCAGCGTGCTTTTGGAGGGCAAAGCTTGAATTTTGGAAAAGGTTTATATTTAAAAGATTTTTGCCATTCTAACTGACATTTTTGTCAACTTTTTATATCATTTGCCATAAACCTTGTTTTACACATGCAGGTGGCCAAGCCTATCGCTGCGCCTGTGCTGCTGATCGCACTGGCCATGCATTATTACACACTCTTTATGGCCAGGCAATGAAGCATAACACTCAGTTCTTCGTTGAATATTTTGCACTAGATCTTCTTATGGATAGCAGCGGTGGGTTTCAACAAAAGCGATTTTTGTTGTCAGTCATAACTACTTGATTTTTCTTATTTTTTGATAGCCAGTTCCAGCTTTTAATTATATAGGTTGATTATACCTCAAATGCTCTTATAGATTGATCTAGAATTATTATGCTGATCAGTCTAGACTGACCATCTAGTTTCGCTAGTGTGTTTATGAGTTTATCTTTATTGTTGATTCTATACCGTTTTTAGTCTTTTGTTATTTTTAGAGTACATTTCATTAGTCAAGGCCTTGATTTGCTCTCACTTTTGGCCTTCTACATACATGAGGGTTAGTCATTTATGTATGTGGGATGATACTGAATGATGAATTAATTGAAAAGCAAGCTCTCCTATTGTCCTTAAAAATAGTTCGCCAGAAGATGTTCCCTCTCCCATGATTGATGTTGTGGGTTCTTCTCTTCCCCTTCTTTGCTTTGTGCTTAAGTTCCCTCGCTTTTCCCTTCCTAGGTGGTGCCAAAGACTACCCTACCTCTTTCTCTATGCTAGTTTATTAACTTATAATTTGGATGGGAAGTAGATAGGAGGAAGATTAATTAAGTCTCATACTTGAACAAAGACATCACATCTAAAGATTGGAAGAAAGAGATTTTGATATCAGAAGGAACATTTTTAATTTAATAGCTAAAAATTAATCACAGAGATTTTTTTAAACTCATTATGCTTTTCCAACTAGGGTTCAAAGCCTGTTAATTTAATTTGTTGAAGTTGGCAATGAAATAGTTATGACCTTGGTTTGTCTTTCTTTCTCTTAGTTGATCCCCTTTTCTCCTAATCCTAGGGTTTATTCTCTTCATCTTCCTCTATATCTAATGCCTGCCTTCGCATGAGGCATCCTTCTTGCTGATGTGTTCTTTCGTGTGATTTTTTTAACCCTTATTCTCTTTATCTCTCTGGTACTCTCTGTTGGATTCTTCTCTTTATGCCGCCTCTTTATATCAATTTGATAATAGAGCCAAAAATATTGACTTAAAGAAAATCTTATGGAGTAAAGCTTTGTTGTCGTCCACTTCAAGCACAACCCTTCTCCTAACTCTTGTTAGCTGTCTACCTTTACTTCCATTTATGCAACAAGTCGATTCCTCTACATCTTTGTCGGCATGGACATCCTTTGTCTAGTTTATCATTAATTGATCGGAGTTCATCAATCTGACCATCCTCTTCAAAGAAATCTTATTGGGAGCATATTATATGTTTCTTGATCTACATCAAGAAGGGGAAGACATCTTTTGAGTAGGTGTGGACTCCTTAAGGAAGAAGAAGAGGCTAGAAAGAGAGAAATTAGGAATTTTCATTCTATGTGTTTTTCATTACAATAAGAGAGGTATTTATACTACTTGGGTAGACCAATTGTTCAACATAGAATTGGTCTACTTAAAACAAACTAAAAATTGAATACAAGAAATAAACTAGAGCTTATTACATATACATACACCAATTTGGTTAAACTATTTTTTTTTTTTGTGTTGAATCACACAGCCAAGGGGAGGCCACACCAACAATCCGTGGGTAGCAATCTGAGGGCTGCAGTTGGAGATCGTGGGATATGATTATTATAATTAATTATAATAAATGTCTTTCCTCTTATGTTTATTATATTTAATTAGATTAAATGTCTTTCCTTTTTCTGTTTATTCTCCTAGAATGTATATATATGTAATGATTCTAAGGAATATAATATAATTTGAATTTCTCTCTAAACACTTTATGCATGTATCAGAGCTTAGGAAAATCCTAAGTCTTTTTTGAGTGTCGCAAACCTTCCTCCCTTTCTTTCAAACCATCAGCCGACGGTAACTCTCCATCATTCGTACCGATTGCCTCTCTTCAAGCATTGGTAGCCCTTGCCCAAAATTCATCTTCTCTTTCAACCGAGGAAATCCAATCATGTCCATGGATAACGAGATCTCATCCTCCTACCCAAATATTACAGGTTTAAACATTGGAAACTCTGGATTTGCAAACAACTCTTCTTCTCTCCCTCCTCCATAACCTGCTATCAACCTACATGCTCACTCAGGTATAAAACAGTTAAAACTTTGGGTTATTGACTCAGGAGCATCAGATCACATGATAAGAGATTATACTGCTTCATGATTATCAACCTTATCATTCAAATCGAGTAGTTAAGATTGCTGATGGCTCAACATCCAAAGTTTTAGGATCTGGTTTCACTTTTGTCACAGAAGCTATCACCCTTAAATCGGTCCTTTATGTGCCCAATCTTGAGCGCAATATGATTTTCAATAGTAAATTGACTCGTGATAGTAATTGCTTAATAATTTTCTCCATTAATGTATGTATTTTTCAGGAACTGGATTTGGAGAAGAAGATTAACAATGATAAGATGTGTTTTGGGTTATATTACGTCAAGACATCCAAATCCATACAAATTTTAATTGATGCTAAGGATCATCCTATTATAAGTCAGTTGGTTGATAGTCATTCTAGAGTCAGTCAAGATAGATAGATTATCATGTGGCATTATAGGTTAAGTCATCCAAATTTCATGTATCTTAAAAAGCTTTTTCCCCATTTATTTATTAATAAAAATTCATGTTTGTTCAAATGTGAAACTTGTAAATTGGCTAAACATACCAGATCATCTTACCCAATAGTTCATTAGCAACCTTCTAAACCCTTTGCCTTGATCTATAGCGATATTTAAGGACCCTCAAGGGTTAAAAATATAAGTGGAGAAAAGTGGTTTGTGATATTTATTGATAATCGTACTAGACTCACTTGGGTTTATTTAATGAAGGAAAAATCTGAAGTTTAGGATATTCAAATCATTTCAACTGAAAAAAAAAAAAAATCATTTCAACTGATGATTCATAACCAGTTTGATAAAAAAATTCAAATCTTAAAATCAGACAATAGGAGTACTTCCATTCTATCATGAGAGAATACCTATCAAACTAAGGGATAATTCAAGTGAGTTCATGTGCATATATGCCTCAATAAAATGGAGTAGCTAAGAGGAAAAATAGGCAATTGGTGGAAGTTGCCAGATATATTATGCTATTCACAATAGTATAAAAAAATCTATGGGGGAAGCTATTCTTACTGCTACATACCTAATAAGGTTACTTATTTGAGTACTAAAATTTGAAACACTTATACAAACTCTATTCAAAGCCTATCCTCATGCTCGGTTCATATCAAAAAACCTTCCACCTAAAATTTTTGGGTGCTGTGTCTTTGTTCATATCTATCCACAAGATAGAAGCAAGCTTGACCCAAGATAAAAAAAAATGCGTTTTTATTTGCTATTCCCCGATATAAAGACGTTACAAATGCTTTTGTCCTATTCTTGGAAAAGTATTTGAAACCATGGATGCCACCTTCTTTGAAACAACCCATACTTCACTAGTTTTGAAATTCAGGGGAAGAGTGGAGAATTTTCAAACTTGGGAATGGAATTCCTTATTATACAAACAAATAGAGTCTAGTCAAAATCAACAAATATCACAAGAAATTCAAACCACAAGTATTTCCCAAGGTATATCTCCTATATTTCAAACTCCTCCTTCAGACCTATTACCTCCACCCATAAGTTCTAATTAATCCCTGCAAAGAGCAGCAATTAAGGAACAACAATATGCATACTCAAGAAAAAGAAAGAAAAACCAGCATATACCAAGGAGTGAGACACATCTTACACCTGTCAACTCTCCTAAATTGGATCCAAAAATTGTAGAAATTCATACGAATGAGAAAAATGAGGAAATTTAAAAAGAGATAGAGTCATCAAATGTCCAGAAAGAATCATGCACCAAGCATCCAATTGAAAACTTTCTCTCCTATAGCAGATTATCAAACACTTATCAAGTCTTTCTTTCTAAGTTGGATGATGTACATATTCCGACCAATATTTAGAAAGCTTTGAATCACCTATGATGGTGATAGGCTGTTAAAGAAGAAATTATGACCATGAAAAGAAACCAAACATGGGTGATTACAAATCTCCCACCATGAAAGAAAGTTGGGACTTACAAATTGGTTCTCACTATAAAGCATAAGGTGGATGGTAGTGTTGAGAGGCTGAAAGCTAGATTGGTTGCAAGAGGATTCACTCAATCTTATAGAATAGACTATTAGAAAATTTTTGCTCCTATTACAAAGCTCAACACCATCATGATTCTTCTTTCCTTGGCACAAATTTAGATTGACCCCTACATCAGCTAGATATTAAGAATGTATTTTTGAATGAGAACCTGGAAGAAGAAGTCTACATAGAGATTCCAATGGGGATTCAGAAGTCTTACAGAAAAGACAAAATGTGTAAACTGTTGAAATCCTTGTATGGATTAAAGCAGTCTCCTAGAAGATGGTTTGGAAGATTCTCAAAGTATGTAGAAGGCCATGATTGTAGATAATGCCAGGTAGATTATACCTTATTTGTGAAGCAGTTAGAAAGATACAAGTAACAGTACTGATTGTATATATGGATGACATTATCCGTACTAGAAATATATAGAGGAAACAATGAAGATCAAGCAAGTTTTGTCCAAGGAGTTTGAAATTAAAGATCTAGGATCACTTAGATACTTGTTATTGTGGTAGCTCAATCAAGCAAAGATATTTTTGTTTCCCAACGCAAGTGTACCTTTGACCTACTGAAGGAGACCGGTATGCTGGGATGCAGACTAGCTAGTACAACTATGGATCATAAGAAGAAACTTGGGGTAGAAAAGGAGTGAGTTCTAGTAGATAAAGGAAGATATCAACATCTAGTAGGAAAGCTTATATACCTCCCCCACACCCATCTAGATATTGGATTTATTGTGAGCATGGTAAGCCAATATATAAGTAATCCCATGAAGAAGCACATGGAGGTAGTATATCAAATCTTGAGATATCTCAAGAACACTCTTGGAATGAGACTATTATTCAAGAAAAATATAGAAAAGAAATTGATCATTTATTCTGATGTAGATTGGGCATGAAGCCAGGTTGACAGTTGATTGACCATAGGATATTGTTATTTGTATGGGGGATACTAGTGACATAGAGGAGCAAGAAACAATCTGCTGTTTCCAGAAACAGTGCAAAATATGAATTGAGAGCATTAGCAGTTACTGTTTGTGAAGCTATTTGGATCAGACAAATATTGATTGAACTGAGAATTAAGATTGAAGGCACAATAAAGTTGAAATGTGACAATCAAGCCATGATCAGCATAGCCAAGGATCCAGTACATCACGACAGAACAAAACATGCTACTATTGATAGACACTTTATATTTTAGAAAACAGAGAACTTATAATTAATTAGATTATATGTCTTTCCTCTTTTGTTTATTATAATTAATTAGATTAAATGTTTTTCCTTTTTTTATTTATTCTTCTAGAATGTATATATATGTAATGATTCCAATGAATATAATGGAATTTGAATTTCCCTCTATACAATTTCTTCAATTTGTCCAAGATTTATTGTTGCTTTGTGTCAATGTGGAAGTTTTGAAAGTATTGATTAAAAGTGAAAGATTTCGTAGGATTAAAAGTGCTAGTGATGGATAATACCCTTGGTGGCACCATCCTTATTTTAATCCAATATTCATTTTCATTAAGTTAGGATTCTTCCTTTCCTTAGGATTAGACGAGTTAGTGGTGGGCAACGCTCTTCGTGGCACAATCCTAGTTTAATCTATTTTTCTTTTCCTTTTGTTCAGATTCTTCATTTTCTTAGGATTAGACGTGCTAGTGATGAACAAAGCCCTTCGTGGCACTATCTCACTTTAATCTAGTTTTTCTTTAGGTTAGGATTCATCCTTTCCGTAGGATTAGATATTCTATTCATGTATGTTCATCTTTTATGCTTGTAGGTTTGGCATATTTGTAGCCAATGCATAATTTGATTGTATAATTTTGGGATTCAATAGAATATATTGATGTGTAACAGCATATCACAAGGTAGATGGTTAATTTGATCGCCCTTTTCCAAGATATCTATATTTAATTATTTATTGTTAGATATGTCTCTTTGTGGGAAGGCTTTGCAGTTTCAGTGATATAAGTATCTACTTAAAATTTCTTTTAGTTAACTTTGGGGCGCAATAAGAAAATTAGTTTTTATGACCATAGCTCCTATCCACTTAGTATTTCATTGTTCCATGTTTAAATTAATCTTTAAAGCAATTATTTACCAAATTTTTTTATTAATCACTCTAATGTAAATGCCTACATGAGTTATGCATAGTTTAATAAAAATAGAAATTTTGGGGTTTCCTTTTTTGTTGTTCCAAATATCAGGAGGGAACATAGAGAAGTTAGCTACAAAACTCTCTGATGAACTTTAAAGTAGAGGCTTCCCATATCGGGATATGTAACAAGAAACTTTTACTTGCAAAGGAGGAAAAAGAAAAAAAAAAGGAGATTGGTTAAGAGAAGATGATGGCTCACTGACTGTCGGTGCAATGTTATCTACCCCTTATCTGATGGTCCCTCTGAGGCTATGACACCCTACACATTTTTTATCAGTCTTTTCATGCTCCAACGCTTTCAATCTCTAATATTTTAAAGTTTCCTGATCGTGCATCCTGAAATGAAGAGAGAGAGAGAGAGAGAGAGAGAGAGAGAGAGAGAGAGAGGGGGCTTTGTATGGGTATCTATTTCACTTGATCAATTAAATCAGTTGTGTGTGCTTGAGCCAGTGAGTCATGTTCCTCCATGTTGGTAGCAACCATGAGTAAGATATGACCTTTTAGGCTTCTAAATTTGCCATATACCATCGCTAACATTTTGTTGTCGTAGACATTTGTGAGTACTAGTTTTGGTCCTGAAAACTGTCGAGGTTTTCAGGATGGCTGTAGTACATCATCTGTATTTCCTTTCTTTGTCCTTCTTTGTATACCGAATTAGTCTTCTTCTTATTCTTCTTTCTTTTAAGGTTCTATGCAATGCAATCTCTTTTACTGTCAACATTTTGCCTCACATTTTTGTTTTGGAATTACCATGCTATAGGGTCCTGTCAAGGCGTGATTGCACTGAACATGGAGGATGGAACACTTCATCGATTTAGTGCCAAATCCACAATTTTAGCCACTGGGGTGAACATATTTTTATTTTTATGTTATTCTGTGATAGATAGTCATATATCACTGTAATACTACTTTTAGGGCTATGGAAGAGCTTACTTTTCTGCAACCTCTGCTCATACATGCACCGGAGATGGTAATGCTATGGTAGCTCGTGCTGGTTTACCTCTTGAGGTTCATATGCGACTTCAAACAAAGAAAACTTGTTTCCCCATATTGGAATCAGCTACATACCTAAGCTAATTATTTTTTGTTAATGATGCAGGATCTTGAATTTGTACAGTTCCATCCTACTGGCATTTATGGTGCTGGCTGTCTCATTACTGAAGGTTATTATTCATTCTCAGCTGCTTAGGCCATGTATCTTTTTGATATCAATGATTTTGTGATCTTTATTGTTTAGCATCCTCATTTATTGAGTTATGGCTTTTTTTTTTTTGGCAATGAATTGACGGTTAAATCTCTACTTTAGAGATCAAAGGACAAACCATTCAACCAAATGGTTGGTGATGGTTTATTTTTATATGCTTGTCCGTTTTATTAATTGCCATTTTCATGTATCTTTAGGATCTCGGGGTGAAGGTGGCATTCTTAGGAACAGTGAAGGTGAACGTTTCATGGAACGTTATGCTCCTACTGCAAAGGATCTTGCTTCAAGGGATGTTGTTTCAAGATCTATGACAATGGAAATTCGAGAAGGACGTGGTGTTGGTAAGAGTTAGGCTGAGATCATATGGAAGATTGCTATAGTTTTTACATTACAGATGAAGTGACCTGCCACTTTATGTTTTTTTTTTGGCTATCTTCCATGAATTGTGTCTGAAAGATGAATTTCTTTTATTTGTAGCCTTATCATCTTTTCTGTTGAGTTTTTAAGTAGTCGTTTTCTGATTTTTTATTCTGGATATTTGATAGGACCACTAAAGGATCATATTTATCTACACCTGAATCACCTACCTCCAGAGGTACTTAAGGAAAGGCTTCCTGGTATATCAGAAACTGCTGCAATTTTTGCTGGGGTTGACGTCACCAAGGAGCCTATTCCGGTGCTACCCACAGTACACTATAATATGGGTGGAATCCCCACTAACTACCATGGGGAGGTAAGTTTGACTCATGTTTTGTATTTCATTATGATAATCTGGTGTGAGTTTATCATTACTTGTCTGTTCAATTTTCTGCTATACAGGTAGTTCACATTAAAGGCAGTGATCCAGATACAGTAGTTCCTGGTCTATTGGCTGCGGGTGAGGCTGCCTGTGCATCAGTTCATGGAGCAAATCGACTTGGTGCTAATTCACTTCTTGACATAGTTGTATTTGGCAGAGCTTGTGCAAACAGAGTTGCAGAGATTCAGAAGCCAGGTTGATTGCATTATTTTTTTCTTTCTTTAAAATATTGTCAGCATTAAAACTCTAATTAAAATGCAGCTTATATCGTTTATTTGGTATTGTAGGCGAGAAACAGAGCCCTCTTGAAAGGGACGCTGGGGAGAGGACAATTGCCTGGCTTGATAAACTGAGAAATTCCAATGGCTCCTTGCCAACTTCAAAAATTCGTCTCAATATGCAAAGAGTGATGCAAAATAATGCTGCTGTATTTAGAACTCAGGAGACATTGGAAGAAGGTAAGCCCAACGGGAAAATGATTTATGGTGCTATTTCATCTTATGAATTTATTGTTCAATGGCCATACTTTCAAATGTCATTTTATCATCGCTTTTCGTTTTTTCCATAGTAGTAATTTAAGAATGTGGTTATTGTTCCTTAAACCAGGTTGCAAATTGATTGACAAAGCGTGGGAGAGTTTTCATGATGTTAAAATTAGTGATCGAACCCTAATATGGTAGGTATTCTCATCACATTTTTGTTCCCACTCCCTGACCCTTTCAAGCTTCATTTTTAACCCTGGTTTTCTTTCTTGCAGGAATTCTGATCTGATAGAAACTCTAGAGCTAGAAAATCTTTTGATAAATGCCTGTATAACCATGCATTCTGCTGAAGCAAGGAAAGAAAGTAGAGGAGCTCATGCTCGTGAAGATTTTAGTGTGAGATTTTCTTGATTTATAAATATATCATTAATGCTCAATTTCTAAAATTTTGCCGAATACTATTTTTCACTTTTATGTTTGCAGAAAAGAGATGATGCTAATTGGATGAAACACTCACTTGGGTATGCCTTTCTATCCTCTTTTTCGCATCATACTTTTTTCGTGAAAATCAAAATAAGAAGAGAGAAGAGTAGAAAATGAGAGATTTCTAATTGAATTTTTTCTGATGTTTTGTATAAGAAAGATAAGAAGTTATACATAAATAGGTGGATAAATACCTATCTAGGAAAGAATAAAATTCTTTAGACCAATTTTTAATTATGGAATCTTGAATTAACTAGATATTAGAAATGGAATGCTGCTATGTACGGATTGCTGCATTATTATACATAGGAAGCTATTGTCCATGTACTGCAGAATTGCTATAGACGGAAAGTAGTAGTTGCATACCAAAAAGTGTCCCATCACAAAATCAAATTAGGATTATATTTAGGGTCCACGTTAAATTTGTATCTTATTTAATTTATTGTGGGGATACTTGCAAAATTTATTCAATTCTCAGAGTCCTGTTGTATAGTATATATAAATAATAGTTCTGGTGATATCTCTTCTAATGATGAATGATGATATCTCTTCAGAAGTAAATGAAAAGTTAGAACAACAACAACAACAACAACATCAAGCCTTTATCCCACTACGCGGGGTCGGCTACATGAATCTTTTTTCTCCATTGTGTCCTATTAAAAGTCAAATTCTCGTTTAAATCTAATAAAGAAAGGTTATTCCTAATATTTTCTAACCAAGTCTTTTTAGGTCTACCCCTACCTTTCTTAAAAATGAAAAGTTAGAACAGTATATAAAATTCTTAGAATAGAGCTTGGCGTTAGTAGAATACACATTGAGTAGATATGTAGTTTTAGTGAATATGAAATTGATTATTTACAGTTAATGTTGATTCTGGAAACGATTTCTCTAATTCAGCACTCAATTAATTTGATGTCAAGTAATGGGATAAGGCTAATTATAATGATGATGATGAAGTCACCTGGGAGCTATATTATGGAATAATATGTCGGTATATTTTCCCAAATAAAAATACCAATAATCAAACTCAATGAACCACTTTTGAGATCTTCATGTCATTTGAAAAGCAGGTTTGGAATAATATTTCGGAACATTTCCCATATAAAAGATGCTAGTATTCAAACTCAAGGAACCACTTTTTTCAGTCTTGTTGCCATTTAAGCAATAGGGTAGGCTCCATGATATATGTAAAAGTATTAACATTAAGATACCACTTTGACTTGTGGTGAGAGATTTCTCCTGATAAATGAATGTCAGATTAATTATGCTATCACAAGGATTTCCTTGCCACTCTATCTGTCTGTCGGTCTATTTCTCTCTTCCTTTAAAAAGTGTTACCAATTTTTCTTTCGCCATAAACATGCCTTGTTTCTTTTCTACAGATATTGGGAGAATGAAAAGGTTCGGCTGGCGTATAGACCTGTTCATATGAATACACTGGATGATGAAATTGAACCATTTCCACCAAAAGCTCGTGTTTACTGAAACATCTTTTTTCTCCCTATGATTGTAATTTTTAGCGTTTACGATAACTTGAGCTAATAAAATTGTCTTAATTTTATATTTTTCCAGAAGGAAAATAATTGAAAGTGCTATCAATGTTGGCATAAATGATATCCCTGTATCTTTAAGCCATGGAAACAATAGAACTCGTATTTTGATATGTAGTGTTTCCTGGCTAAAAACAGTTTAGGCTGCCATTTTAAACAATTATTAATTGCATATAATGTATATCTCCATGGTGCTTTCTTAGGTTATGTTTCCCCTTTTTTATGTAAGTGGCAGTGTTGTTGGAGGCCTTATTTGTTCTTATTTATTCGTATATTTTAAAAGATATGCAATATATAAAGTAGATCTTAATTTTCATGTTCATCTTAACATTATTATAGTTATTGTAATTTTATTTTATTTTCATTGTTGTGATTATATTTTCAAAGAACTTTATTGCATGGGGTTGTAATTTAGAACTTGGCTGTGGTAGGAGGATTCAATTCTATTAGACTGGCCCTGGGCGGGTCCAAGTTTATACCAGGCGGAAGTCTGGTTCCGCCCAGGCCTAGCCTGCCCCCTTGGGGGTGGGGTCCATGCATTAAGGAAGAGAGACATAGGGCAGGGTGAGCGGGAAAATTGAATTGGAGGGGCTGTTTGGACTTTTTTACTTTGTATTGTTTGCTTTTAAGGAAGAGAGACATAGGGTCGGTAAAATTGAATTTGAGGGGCTGTTTGGACTTTTTTACTTTGTATTGTTTGCTTTTAATTGTTATTTTCATGCTAGGGTTATGGTCATGTTATGTTTGGCTAAATTTGTATTTCTCTTAGGATTTTTTTGGGCTCTAGCCACCGGCTAGGGAATAGGAGAGCCAGATCTTCCTCTCGAATTGAAGATCCATTCTATCTTATTTAATTTCTTCACTCTTTCATCAATGATCAAATTTCCCTAGTGTTTTGCCATCAAATTTCTCTCGATTTTTATTTTATCTTGCTGAAATTTTAAATTTCAGCTAAGATTCTTTTAATTTCTGCAAGTATTTCCTATTGAATTCATATAAAGGTGGCCATTCAAGTTACATTAACTCAACCGCCCACATCATACAAGCTAGATTATTGGCCAGCTGTACAATGAAAAATTCAAGGCTCTCTCTCAAATTTAATTTCAAATTCAAGGCCTCTTTAAGTTGAAATCATCAGCTTCCATCATTGTTTGAAAATACCGGCATCATTAGCACAAGTTGTATCTGATGGCTACCTTGTAAATGTAATGACCACATTCCTTTTTGAATTCAGATGAAATGGGAGGGAATTGAGATATATTATGAGGATTGTTATACCTCATGCTCTACAACTCGCTCACAAGCTCTCAACCATTATGCAACGATTCCTCACATCATTTTTAGCTCTCAACTTCTCTTATTCTCACAAACACTAGCTCAAATTCCTCGTTCACCACAAGTATTCTCATGAACATTCTCACTGAATTGATGACATAAAACACTCTTACTGAGATTGTACAAAAAACTGATGTTCTCCTATCTTATTGTTTAACTTTTTTCATAGTATGATGATGCTTACATTTAGTAAATCCCTACTTAATTCATTGAGAAGGCCATTTAGTACATGTTTTTCCACTTCCGTTAATATTTCTTTTTTTTCCAAGCATACAAATGTGTTGCTGTCCCAACCAAAATCCCATAAACAGTTAATGTCTGGGTGCCAGTGCTGGATATCTTTCTCTATCATCTTGTTGAGGCTGTCAGCAAGATCATAATCACACCCCACAGTATAATTTTGATACTTCAAGCTTTCAAAATCAGCATTCACCTCTTTGATTAATGTGTCTATACTTCTCTTCGAAGGTGTAAGAGACCCCTTCCTTGAAAAATTTAGTTCTTCTCTTTTGCCTTTTCTTCTTAGCAATTCATTTCCGCAATCGATGATAAGTTTGGCATCATTATCTGGACCAGTATTTTCAGCGGCTTGAAGCATGCCAACAGGAATCTTGATTTGGAATAGTGCTTGTGCTACAGTCAGGAAGTTCTGGTTGGTAGTAAGTGTTTTCTTGAGAGTTTCTTCATCTTTTGTAAGTATCTCTTGCTGATCTACTTCCATAATTGTTCGATCCTCATGTGCTATAGAATTATTGCCGTTGTGTTGCATCATTCTGCTATGATCTGTAAATTTAGAAATTGTCACATTTAAGTTTTACATCTTTGTGATATTCTCATAAGTGCTTCAAATATAAAATCAAACTATAATTGTGGAGTTATACTACACCGCATATACAAGAAGGCATGTGTGTGTGTGTGTGTGAGAGAGAGAGAGAGAGAGAGAGAGAGAGAGAAGCATAGAGTGTGCGGGAGAGGATTGATACCTTCTTCCTTGTTTTCTAAAAAGCTGATTTGTTTTTCTTGATATTTCTGCGTGGAATCCTCTTGGGAATAAGAATCTTCTTGGGAATAATTGTCTACACATTCTATCGTGGTGACACCATACCTCTCTGGGATCTGATGAACACTATTTTCTTTTTCAGATTTCACCTGTAACATCCCATCTTTATCAGCATTGTTAAGTGGTAATAAAAAGTTATTTTTCCATAATCTAATTAGCTTGATATCTTTTTGGCTGTTTAAATTTGATAATCAACCAAACATTTTCTACCAAACTACAGGTAATTGAACTGTTGAAATGCTTGCAAAATGGATTCATGTGAAATCTTCTTACATTTATTTCTACTTGTATGGTTTGATCCTTTGAGGCTTGGATGTTTATATCTCTAGTAAAAGGGTTGCTGCAGGTGTCATTTTTTGCATCTTCACTTGAGATAAGATCACAGGTGGTGATTTCCATTTTGCCATTGTCTTCTGGAAGATTTCCTGAACTAATAATTTCAATTTTCTGTTGCATATTGAATTCCAGGTTTACATTAGGACAGTTATCGATTCCTTCCACTTTCTTATTCCTTTCCTTCCATCTGTGCTCCAGTTCTTCTAAAATGGAACTTCTCTGTTCCATGGCCTGACTTGCATCCAGAGCTTTATTCTGTGCAGTTACTTCCACCGAACTTCGACTATTTGTAACTTTTTCTCTTGCCGTTAGTATATTTTCTTTCTGTGCTGATTGAATCTGCATAGACTTCCTCATGACTGTTGCTTGGATTGAGCTTCCTGCCATCTTTTCTGCTCTTGTATTGCTCTTCAATGGTAATCTTTTATTTTCTATCAAATTGTTTTCTCTGTGATGTTTATAATTACTTTTGTTCCTCATATTGGTTCCATTATGGATGATCTTTAGATTTTCTTTTTTTGATTGGCTGCCAGTTTTCTTCATTATATCCTTTTTATCTGAATTTGCACTTTCTTTACTCCACCGTGTCCTTGCCCTCGTCTCATTAGGATGCTTCTCTATTTCCTTGGACATCATGACTCTTTTATTTACTGTAGAGGACTGCAATTTATCTTTTATATCATACTTCTTTTCTGCGCTATTTTCTTTAATTCCTTCTCTAGATTGCGAGCTATGGATTTTAAGTTGTTGTACTTGCTCGCTATTTCTTTCATTATATAATCGATTAAAAACTCCAGTTGTCACTTGGGCTTCTCTTTGTTGCTTTAAAACCAACTCTTCCTTTATCTGAATAAATTCCTTCTTCCCAATGTTGTCTTGTTTTGCTTCTGATGAGACTATCGAATTGCTTTTCTGTTCATGGTCTGAATTTATAATCTTCAACGATGAATCAATCTGCACAATTTTATCTATTTTTGATTGCTTTCTAGCTTTTTTTTCTTCTCTGCTTATTGTTAGATCCTTTCTTCTCACCCTTGAATCATTAATGTGATCTGTGAGTGAATTTCCATACTCAACTCTTCCTTTCGTTTGTTGCTTTGTACTGGCTATTTCCTCTTGTGGCTCTCCTTCCTTCCTGACCCTTGTTTCACTTTTGTGATCTATGTTATTTACATCCATCTGCCCATTATTTCTAACATAGTTCTTCAGTGAATCTTTTGACGCTGGACTAGTATCTTCTGGATGGTTTTTTGAACTTCTGAAATTATTCATTCCCTTTGCTTGTGCATCAATTTTTAGCATTCTTTTCGTTGGGTTAGCTATCATGCTATCTTCCTTCTCATTGATATCTTTATCAAATTCCCCCAGCTCGTAGCTCATCTCTTTCAATTGTTGAGACCTCATGGATTTTGCTTCTATTGGTGCAGGAAGTTCTTCTAAGCCCATTAATTTTGCTATGACATTTGGCATCCTAACCTTTTTTGACACCAAATTAGTCTCATTATATTTTGAAATAGAAGAATCTGCATCACTTACGAACCTTACTAATTCATGGCTTCCATGGCTCTTATTAGCTGAACCCGAAGCGCCACTTATGGATCTGCAATGGGAGATGAACTGTATGGAACTTCTTGACGAATTGCCATTTGAGTTGGTTCCTGGATACCTCAACTTGTCACTGTCAGATGCAGACTTTTTCTTCTGATCTACGACTTCGGCGCCGCGTCCTTCTCTGATAAAGGAAAACTTGGGCCTGCTTCGTTGATTTCCCTGGTGAGTTAGATACTCCTCGTCTTTTTCTTTCCCTTTCAATAATTTTACCTGCTGCTGCTTTCTCTGGGAACCAACCATGTAATCTGAAGCATCTTGAAGTGTTATAAGCATTTTCAAAGATTCCTCCAGATCCATAGCCCCTCTCAGCAATTCTCTCCCAATTTCTATAGAATCTCTGTTAAAATTAAACCCATTAGAACACGCTTTAAGTATCATATTTAGATTTTGGACACCTTTAGCTACTTCTCCAATCTGTGAAGGGGATAAGAAAGGGAACTGGTAAGCCTGTGGCATTGCCATGTTACCATCCATGTGTAGCACAATCTTCCTTCCCATAGAGGGATTGCCCAAAATTTCAATATTTTGGAGTTTGCCACTGTTACTGAGTGCCATAGAAAGTGCCATTGATAGATCAATAGTGCTTCCCCTGCTGTTTCTTCCAAATGGAACAATTTCTTGTGAACCTCCTTCAAATGCTGGAGCGTTATTTCTTCTCCCAAGCAACATATTTGTTTTACTTTCCATGCCAGAAACATTCTTGCTATTCTGCAGCACAGTTTTTGCCAATTGAATTAGATGAGATCTTAATTGTCAATTAAGTTCTCAAAGTTGTTAAGAAACTTACCAAGTTCTTCGCTGCTGCTTGTCCTGAGCCCTGAAAGGACCATCGGGAATTCTTAGAACCTGTCAAGAAAAAAACCAATTAATGTAGGTAATGAATCTAGGAAAAGTATTACTTGCGGCGTCCGGATTTATTCGGAGGCAAATCCGGATGCGCCACGTCACCCGGGGCCCGATGCATCCGGGTGATGTGGCGCGTCCGGATTCGCCTCCGAACAGTCCGGACACCGCCCGTAATAATCTCTCATGAATCTGCATCTTAATTCTCCATGAAACTAGTGGAATAAATAAGGTAGAAATAGCAGAAATATCCCCAGTCTATTACTGGGGAGTCAATCAAGTAAAGGTTTTCAAATGTTATTGTCTAATTTGGATGATCCTTCCTTGTTGCTTTTGTAGATTCTATTTGCAACTATGAGTATTTCATGTGTATTTTTGCTTGGGTGTTCTTATGATTTGCATGGTCATAAAATTATCAGTAATAGCCTACTTGTGTATTGTGAAATGGATGATTATGGGATGCTCCCTTTAAGGTTATTGAGACCTCTCTTCACATCATTCTCTTATTCTTAGTTTGATGGGCACCTCTTTCAAGCTTAAGTAGAGATATATAAGAACTATTAGAGCCAATGCCATAACTTCTTAGACACAATTCAGTAAGCTTAGGCTTCATTTGGGACGGCTTTCTTTCTGCTTCTTAAAGCAGCTCTCTAGTACAAAAAAATTTAATCTTGTATTAGAAAGCTACTTTAAGAAGCAGAAAGAAAGCCGTCTCAAACGAAGCTTTAGTCTTTGCCCATCACTGGAGATCCTATTTTTGCTCTTTACAACAAGCTCAATAAAGTCAAAACTACCCTTAAAGGTATTTCTTGGAACGCGACAAATTATTTTTTTGTTGTGTACTGCGGCTGTGTATCGGATGATGTGGCGTGTTCTGATTCGCCTTCGTACGATCTGACATTCACACAAAATAATTTATCTAAAAACAACTAAGTATAATTTCTCTAAAACAACTAAGTGGGCCCAAAGCTTGTAAGAATTGGAAGTTTGTGTGTTCAATAATATCACATCAAATGATCACCTAATAGAATTTATTTAGTCATAAAGCTTTAATAATTGTTCTATTAAAAAATTCTTGACAAATTTCCAAACTTGTTTTATTCATAGCTGAATATTTTAAGTCAAAAGCCTCCTAATTGATTCCTTGAGGTCAGGCTAAAGCATATAACTATATGAATGTAGAAGTACTATATATGTGAATTTATTTATTTATTTATATAATATCACAATATATATTTTATCTATTTTAATATTATATAAATAAATAAGTTAATTAATGAGTGACATTTTTGTTTGCTTTAAAAATTAAAATAATCTATAAATAAATATAAAACTTTAATATTACATTAATTAATTCTGTAAGAATGTAGTAATATATCTCTTCAAAAAATTAAAAAATATTCAATATAACATTAGATAATTCTGTAAGAATGTTAATATTATATAAATAAAAACAAAAATTTATATAAGAATTCATATGTAAATCCAAAAATAAAAAATCTAAAAAATTTAAGAACTTGAAGCTATTAGATTATTTTTTTCCGTCAATGGAAGCAGCTGTAGATTAACATTATGAGAAAAAAAAAAAATCTCACCAGCAGCAGTAACAGATCCAGAGGAGGAAGACGAAGATCTCTGCTGGCCTGGTGGCAAGAACCCCATCCTCTCCTTCCTCAACCGAAGATCATCAAGCAGCTTCTGCGTGAAATCAGATCTCCTCGCCATCTCTCTCTAGCTAGTTCTCCTCAATAATGTCTGTTCCAGTCCTCCTAATTTCTCCCCCTCATAAAAGAATAAAAAGAAGAGAAGAGAATAGAGAGAGAGAGAGTAATATTAGTAATGGATGTTTCTTTCAACGGTTAGGTGACTCTTTGCGCAGTTGTGTGGGTTGGGAAGTAGTTATCAGTTGGAATAGATTGCATAAAAGTTTGGTGTTCTTATTTTCAAACATAGAGGATTAATATATATTTATGCAAGTGTGGGGGTGTTGAAGTTTGACGTGAAAGCTAGATCTGCTCGCTGTTTCTATTGAGTGGTGCTTTGGCTTCCTCCACTTCCCAAGCAAGGTTGGAGCTCAGCAGATTGAAAGCAGTTCTCTTTCTTTTCTGTGATTATATCTGCTTTCTTCTCAAGATTTCAGCCTTTAGTGGTGTTCTGGTAAGCTAGGAAAAGTTATCACGTGCGGACGCCGAATGCCGTCTGAAGACCAATCAGAATGTGTCATAACACCCATTCCCTCGGTACAACAGCTCCGTACCACTCGGTATTGCAGCTCGGTATTGTTGACGTGGTTGCACCTGATTCGCCTCCGTCCGGCGTCCACACAGAATAATTTCTCTTTGTTAAGAGGAGGTGGGATCAAGATGGAAAAAAACAAAGGATTTTAGTTTGACTTCGATTTAATTTTTTTTTTTAATTTGAAATCGAAATATGCCACATAATAATAGTCATAATTAGAGATTTTATATTTTATATGCCTCGTAATAGTTATTATTACGAGATTTGAATTATGTTCGAACCATGCTTGAATAGGGTTGGAGCTACACTCGATCAAGTATGACCAAATGGAATATCAAGTTTGTTTGAAAATTGTTCAAACAGAGTTTGAATTATGATTCAAACATTGCACGAATATGATTCAAATCATATTCCAACAAGGTTTGAACATGATCAAAATTTTGCTCAAACACGGTCTGAAATTTAATTGTTTGATCATTATTCAAACACGGGTCATCATTTGAACATGGTTATTGTTGAATTCGAATTTGTCTGTAAGTAACACCCGAACCTTACAAGAGTTTGGGGAGATCTTAAGTAGATGGGGGAGTTGAGAGAGAGAGAGAGAGGTGGAGAATGATTTTTTATATTTATCTGCATGTATATAATGTGGATGCCTGCGTGGAGTCAAAAATTTTCATTAATGGGATGCAAATTGATGATTTTCAAAATACTCCCAATAATTTTTTAGTGATTTAATAAATATTAAATTATATGTTTAATATTCTTTTAATTGTATTACACATAAAACTATGATTATCTTATTTCACTTTAACTATTTATTTGTTAGTTTTGATATATCATCAAAAAATTATCTTGATTGGGCACGAATCTCGAGGCAAAATGGAGTTGAAAGCTTCTGAAATTTAATTTGGGATCATCCAAACTCTGATTTCAGCAAACGTATAGTTGAACTAATCTTATCGGAAAAGCAAACCCAACAATACCAAAATCAATCAAATCCAAGCTCAAATGAGCCCAAATCAAATGTCCAAAGAATATTTTGAAGGTTTCAAAGCATAATTTGGATTACAAAACAAATTACAAACATGACACTTATAGTCAAATCGAGCGGTTCGGCGAGACGAATCCAACGAGCCGAAATCATTAAATTTCGGTATAATTAAGGCATTGAAATGACCAGTAAATATTCAACGATCAAGGGGATCAATATCAGCCGTCCATTCAAACCCCTCCCAATAAGCTCTTTATCTTCTCCATATTTACAAGTCATGCTACTCTAAAAAAACTATAAATAGCCCCCATTCTTCTCATGAGAGGGAGGAGGAGAAAGGAGGAAGAGAAGGGAAAATTTTGGGAGATTGCTTGCTGCTGACCACCGCCGAACTTCGTCCGTCCACCGACCATCGCCTGAGTTCTTCCCAACCACCAATGGACTTCGCCAGTCCGTCCACCACCGACAGACTTCCGCCAGTCAGCCGACCACCGCCAAACTTCTGTCCGTCCACCGACCACCATCATACTTCCGCTAGTTTCCCGACCACCATCGGACTTCCGGTAGTTTCCCAACCACCATCGGATTTCCGCTTGTCCGCCAACCAATTCTTGAGTTCTTCTTAACCACAGACGGACTTCGCTAGTCCGCCGACCACCATTAGACTTCCGCCTATCCGCCGACCACCGAAAGACTTTGCCAGTCTGCCGACCACTGCCAAAGTTCTTCCCAATCATCGACAGACTTCTGCCAGTCCGCCGACCACCGCCAACCTTTCGTTAGTCGGCTGACCACTGCTGGACTTACATTTGTTTACCAACCATCGCCTGAGTTCTTCCCAACCACCAGCAGACTTTGCAAGTTTGCCGACCACCGCTGGACTTTCACCAGTCCGCTGACCACCACCGGGCTTCCACCAGTCTACCGACCATCAGAGGACTTTTGCCTGCCCGTCGAACACCACCTGACTTTTGCCCGTCCACCGACCACCACCGGCGAACTTCTGCCCGTCCACCGACCACAGTCGTTCACCGACTACGACCCTTCCGACCACCATTGCCTGACTATAATATTTTCGGCCTCCGCCACTTGACTACAGTCCTTCCAACCACCATCATCCGACTTTGATCCTTCTGACCTACACCGCTCTTCGACTATGGTTCTGCCGCCCAAACAAACATATCAACACTGATTCTTCCAACTCCTACCACATAATACATTTTATATAATGTATATTTACTAATTTGAGCCAAGACTTTCCTCTTAAGAAAGTGCCTCATTTGTAATCAATTGCAAGCACTAGTGGATTCATTCAAATTGGGCTTGACCCCGTGGTTTTTCTCCTTTTCAGGGGTTTCCACGTAAAAATTCTGGTGTCTCTTATGAGGGCTGCACCCCTACTCATTTATCTATTTTTGTGCTGGATCTTTGTACAAAGCTAAGACACTAAACTATATATCTATCTATCGCCGCGAATATTCTAGGACGTAACAAGTTTTATAAAAAAATTAAAACATGCAAATAATAATATATTTATATGATTTTAAGTCATGCAAACTTCAAATCATATAAAAAATTATGTTATTATGTGGAGAATTTTATATAAATTTCTACTTAATTATGCGTATGAAAATATAATGTCGTATTATAACTATATTCATGTAAGCTTTATTGTTTGTATTGTAGGTTTTATGTATTAAATTGCTAGTATGATACTTAGGCTTCATTTGGGTTGGCTTTTTTACTACTTTTTAAAGCAGCTTTTTAGTAAAAAATTAAAATATTGTATTAAAAATCTGCTTTAAAAAGTAGTAAGAAAACTGTCTCAAATGAAACTTTTATTGAATTAATCAAGTGCCTTATGTATTGAGTGAGTGTGTTAATCACCAAGAGGGTCACTGAGTTCACACTTAGTACTTTATTCTCCTTTTGATCATATTAACCAATTTGCTAGCCTGGTTAAGTTCACACTTAATACTTCATTGTCTAAGTCTCACCACCTAAGGAAGCCATCTCTGACTCTTTGGTTCAAGCTCTTTTAGGAAGTCATGATGTACATGATTTAATAATATTAAATGCAAATATAAACTTTCTATTTATTTATTTTTGTTCATTGACTTTGATGTTGGTTTTGCTTTGTGAATTACTTTATGATTTATGTTTTATTTGGGATAGTTTTTTACCATTATATTTTTGGTGTTTTCAGAAAATTTTGTACTAAAAAGATGTTATAGAAAGTAGGAAGAAAGCTGTCCCAAACAAAACCTTGATGTGTGGGATATGCGATGGATGAACTCCATCGGTAATTTTTACCCTTGCTAATAAATTTTTACTAATTTTGATTTCGCTTATTTTTACATTCATTTTGTATTTAAACTTAATCATTATGTTTAAGATCTTTATATTAATAAATGGCATCCCTAATATTCCTATAACCCTGAAAAAGAATTAGTAAATCTTTTGTATTTAAAAATTTTATCACATAAAAAACGAGTTCCACAATTTTAAGAAACCATTCCCTTGCTTATGAGGTGGGAGGTCAAATTGGAGATGAAGCATCACATGGAAGGTCATAATTTAATGTTCACTAATCAATCTTTAGATAGAAATGCTTTTAAGGATGAGAGTGACATTCAAAAAGTTAAGCCTTTGAATGGATTTGATTCAATTAAAGACTTCGTTTTAGGAGAAATTATTACATGCAGAGTCTGTACAGGAGAATCATTAAAATTTTGTGAGAGTACATAGTAAAAATACAGTAAATACAAAGTTTTATTTTTTGCTGAGTATCTGCTGTGTGTTTACTGTATACACTCACAGAATTCAGATGGTTTTCCCGTGCGGAGTAATAATTTCTCCCGTTATAGATTGCTTTATTACAGCTTTTTTAATCAGCTTTTTAGTTCAAAAATTTGTTGAGCGATAAAATTTTGTAAAAAAAATTGTTTTAGAAAATAATAAGATAGCTGCCCAAACGAAATCTAAATGAATATTTGATTGGGCGTTGGAAATTTGAGATAAAGTAAAATATTTAAAATTTGAAACAAGTTATGGTTAGATCAAATAATATAAAATTAAATTGATATTATCATAATTGTATGTAAAAATTAGGCATGGTGGAGCAATTTGAACTATTTCTAGTTGTTATCTTTATCATACTTTCCTTGTTAAGAAAGTAACGATCATCTTTTTCAAAATTGCAACCCCACGATGATTTTTCCTTAACGGCTTCTTTTGATTGTGGTATCTTAGGCCTCTTAGGTTATTTGGGACAATTTTTTTACTACTTCTTAAAGCAGCTTTTTAGTACAAAAATTAAAATTTTATGCTAGAAAGCTGTTTAAAAAAGCAGTAAGAAAGCCATCTCAAACGAAGCCTTAATCTTTATTTTATTGAATCATTATTGGACGATCCTATGCACAATGGGAAAAACTTATGACAAATGGTAGATTCAAATTGTTCTAAAGGGTAGTCGATGGAAGTCAATTGAAGAATGGATCGACGGGACCAACGGTGTGTGATGGAGTGTGACCGAGAATATGATTTATTGAGACTTGAGGATTTAAGTCCAATCCGCCCAAAGGGAGCTGCATGATGGATGAGTATTTACTTTAGTATTCTTAGGGGTTGTTTGGCAACACGATTTAACACTATTTGAGTAGGATTTATGTTAAACCCTACCAAATCGAATTTGGGCGCCCGATAAATTCTAAGTAGAATAAATCACCCGTTTTTCTTTTTTTTTTTTAATTTTTAATATTTAATAATTATAACTATTAAAATTTTAGTATATATTTTTTATAACTTTGAAATTTGAAAAAATTTTAACAGATATTTTATAACTTTAAAATTTGAAAAACTTCAAAAATAAGCTGTACTAAAATTTGCGCTTTAACTATGCATATTTCTGTCTGTTCTGCATCATCTTCCTATAGCCGCTGGTTTTGCTAGGGTTTCTTTTCGCCTTCTCCACTCTTTCGCCTTCGCCCTCGCCTACTGTGCGTGACCAGTAGAGTTTTGAACGAGTCGCTAAATAGCTTCTTCGCCTCCTTCGACGACTTTCCTTCCTGTCGGATTCAGAAATCACACCTCCTCGCCGTTCGTCTGTTCGATCGGAAGTAACGACGACGACGACGGGAGCTTTCTCGTTGCGAAGGTAGCCATCTTTCTTCCGTT